TCCAGGAAAATGAATTATAAGTACAAAGACCCAGAGGCATGAACAAGTTTAGCAAGCTCAGAGACCAGGAAGGCCAATGTACCAGGTAGACAGAGCGAGGGGAACGAGCACAGAACATGACATAGGGGAGGTATGCAGGCACTGAGGACTGTATTAATAATCTGTGTCCTCCAAGCCCAGCAGAGGCTTGTCCCTAAAACCCTGTGATCTGTTAGGCAGTCGAATCTCAGTCTCAGTTAAATATTTGGATGCAACTAGCAATGGCTTCAAAGAATTGATACAGCTTTCCAGATTTCTTATCTCTTTCTAATAGAGAAAGAGAAACCGAAATGCCAAGATTCTAAATTAGTTTGTCTCAGAGTTTTCTACCGCTCACCTTATTCTCCCACCATCCCTAAAGGGATTAGATTTACCGTCTCCATTAAAGAGTGAAGGAGCTCATGCTGCACCCTCCGGTCTAGGGCTAGGTGGGAGGGGGCCCTGCCCTCTCCAGCCTGATGCGCTCCTTCTCACTCACTATTACCCTGGATAATCTCAACCCACTCAAACCCAGAAGCCTGCTTATTTAATTACAAGTACTTATAATTATAAAATCCCTTATTTATTTGTGCATGTAAACTGTGTCTGGCTTACATTTACACACACACACACACACACACACACACACACCCCTATATATATGTATATATATATAGGTGTGTGTATATATATATTTTTTTTCTTTTTTCTTTTTTGAGATGGAGTCTCACTCTTGTTGCCCAGGCTGGAGTGCAGTGAGTGGCACAGTCTTGGTTCACTGAAACCTCCACCTCTCCGGTTCAAGTGATTCTCCTGCCTCAGCCTCCCGAGTAGCTGGGACTACGGATGTTTGCCACTACGCCCAGCTAATTTTTTGTATTTTTAGTAAAAACGTGGTTTTACCGTGTCAGCCAGGATGGTCTCAATCTCCTGACCTCATGATTCACCTGCCTCAGCCTCCCAAAGTGCTGGTATTACAGGCGTGAGCCACCACGCCCGGCCACATATATATTTTTAATAGAGAAATTACTCTCTTAGGAGGTGGAGGTGGGCAGATCACCTGAGGTCAGGAGTTCAAGAACAGCCTGGCCAACATGGTGAAACCCTGTCTCTACTAAAAATACGAAAATTAGCCAGGTATGGTGGTGAGCGCCTGTAATCCCAGCTACTCGGGAGACTGAGGCAGGGGAATCACTTAAACCCAGGAGATGGCGGTTGCAGTGAGCTGAGATCAAGCTGCTGCACTCCAGCCTGGGCAACAGAGCAAGACTCCATCTCAGAGAGAGAGAGAGAAATTACTCTTCCATCAACCTTGAATTTTTCATTTAATAGAAAATAAAAATTATATGGGTTTTAATATCTGTGGCCCTTAAATAGAAATATGATTTAGTCCTAAATAAGCACTAGATTCTATTATCAAGGTTCTACTGTAATCTATCCCAAATCCAGGGAGGGGAGAGGGTGTTCTCATTGGCTTATTCCCCAGTCATTCTGTTGAAGAATGACTGATTATTACAAGAGTCTTGATTATTTGGGGACAAATTTGAATTCTTGTAGCTTTCAAGTTTTGTTCAGAATTGTGTCTTCTGAAGCCATTAAAGAGTAAACGAGCTCATGCCTCACCCTCCCATCTAGGGCTAGGTGGAATAGGATGCCACCCTCTCCAGCCTGATGTGCTCCACAGCAGCCGATCCGCCAGTCCCAGCCCAGGCACAGCCCTTCACCTGAAGGCCACCCACATCACATACCCCTAATGCCTTCTGCTCGTGGCAAGACACCCTCTAGGTTCTCTCTAGAGACCTGCTTTCCAGCCTTCTCAGCATCCAGGCAGCTGCTCTTCAGACACTGTTCTCCTCTGGTTCATCAACAAGTAGTTCCATTCAGCATGGTGCTAAGGAGTAAAAATGACTGTCCACATGTTGTCTTGCCAGCCCAGAGAGACATGCCATTTAAGCTATCTTCACTGTTTCTCCCTCATTAGGTAGATTGCTTTTTCCTGTCAAGTTTCTTCCTCTCCATGGGTCCCTTGCTATTTGTGAACAACATTAAGCTATTTCTCTGCTCCCTTTCCTCAAAATATAAACAGACTCGGTGTTTGCCACCTAATTTTCTTTTTCATGCCTCATCTCACCTTTGTTCCCTGTCTTTAAGCTTTCTATTTGGGCATGTGTTTTTCTTTAAATTTGCAGCATTTGGTGCCGTGATCAATTATCCTGGGTAATTGCTCCTCATTTAAGAACCCCTATTCTTTCTCATTAAAGACCAGACAAGAATACGTCCTCCCATTGACCAGGTGCACCAGGTCTCTTACTTATCTCCAGTTCACCCTTTTGCAGTTTAGTGCTTAAGAGCTCATTCACAGAGGGGCGTAATTTGAGTGGCTTGCCTGACTTGCTTAGTCAGGGCAGCTGGCTATTCTGTTCTGTTCCCTCTGGCTGTAAAAGACTTAGCTTGCCTCTGAGCTCCTTCTCTTGAGGGTCGCCCAGGGCTCTGCTAAATGCACAAAAAAGAACATTTTTTTTTTTTTTTTTTTGGTGGGGGAGGTCATGTATCTTTACAAACCTTGATCTAATTAAGCTTTCTCCTCTAGTTCCCAGTTATCTCCGTAATGACTGTCCACTTTGTCATTCTGAGGTTGTAAAATGAGGCTAATGGGCCTTTCTCATTGCTTCTAGCTGCACTGGGCTTGTCAAACTCCACAGCTCTTTGATTGGTCCTCATTCGTTGCTGCTGTTAGAAATGTGATTTCTTGGTGATGAGACATACCCACTAAAAATATGTGTGTTAAGAGTTCCCGTGCTGTCTGAGAATTCAGATGAGTACAAAAGTGGGTATTCAAAGAGAGAGGACCCTCTTTGGATCCGTAACTTAAAATTCTAGTCAGCAGCGCTTTGGAGATGTAAATTGAGGAAGCAGCTCTCCTTTCGGACAGCTTAATGATCTGTAGTTAATAGTAAGAGGCTGATGGGCAGATGCAGTACAGCTGGGCTTAGGTTAGCATTTCTCAGCAATCAAATGGCACAGTGATTACAACCATTGAGACACACAGTCCCACCCGGAATCATAACCAAAGGCACAAAGACTTCGGCGGGAGGTTGGCAGTGTGGCCTGCTCTGTACACACAGACAAGTCATTCTGCCCCAGCCAGTAATTGATGCCTCTTTTTTAAAGACTGACTCAGGCTTGGCAGTTGCCTATGCAACAAATAGCCCCTCCAGCAACTCTGGGATAAAGAGTGCTAGATTTGGGGTCACTTGTCCTCTTACCCGAATGCACCCAGTTTCACAGAACTTGGGCGAAACTGAGTGTAACTTCTCAGTATCAAATAAGTGATATAACACACAGCTGCTGGAGGTGGTTGATGTAGTCTTATGCCTGGTATTTAAAATTTGGCTTGTAGTTACTGTGTGTTGAGTTATCGGATCCATTTACAATTTCCAGCATCTTTCCAACATCCCTCAAAAATCCCTACAGGAACAAAAAATAAATAAACAACCCCATTCAAAAATGGGCAGAGGACTTAAATAGACATTTCTCCAGAGAAGAAGTGCAAATGGCCACTAAGCACATGATGCTAAGCACAAGATGTTCAGCATCACTGGTCATTAGGGAAATGCAAATCCGAAGCTTAATGAGTTGCCATCTCTCATTCATTAGGATGACTATTATCAAAAAACAGAAAATTACGCTTCTTGGTGAGGATGTGCAGAAATTGGAAACCTTGTGCGCCAAGAGTGGGAATGTAAAACGGCACAGCCATGATGGAACACTGTATGGATGTTCCTCAAAAAGTCAAAAATAGAAGTGTGGTATGATCTAGCAAAGTCTAGCTACTCAAAGCAATTGAAAGCAGAGTCTGGAAGAGGCAGCTGTACCCCCATGTGTCACAGTAGCTTATTAACAATAGCCACAAGGTAGAAGCAACCTGTGTCTACAAATGTGGTATGTACATGCAATGTCATTCAGCCTTAAAAGGGAAGGAAATTCTCACACATGCTACAACATGGGTGAGCCTTGAGGACATTATACTAAGTTAAATAAGCCAGTTACAAAAAGTCAAATACTGTGAGTTCCACTTATATGAGGTACCTATAATAGTCAAATTCAGAGGCAGAAAATGAAATGGTAGTTTTCAGGTGCTGGGGTGGGGAGAATGTTTAATGGGTATGGAGTTTTAGTTTTGCCAGATGAAAAGAGTTCTGAAAATGGATGCAGGTGATGGTTTGCATAACACTGAATATCCTTAAAGTCACTGAAATGTAGACTTAAAAATGGTTAATAAGGCTGGGCATGGTGGCTCCTGCCTGTAATCCCAGCACTTTGGGAGGTTGAGGTGGGCGGATCACCTGAGGTCGGGAGTGTGAGACCAGTCTGGCCAACATGGTGAAACCCCATCTCTACCAAAAATATCAAAAAGTAGCCAGGCATAGTGTTGGGCACCTGTAATCCCAGCTACCTGGGAGGCTGGGACAGGAGAATTACTTGAATCTGGGAGTGAGGGTTGCAGTGAGCCAAGATTGTACCATTGCACTCCAGCCTGGGCGATGAGAGCAAAACTCCATCTCAAAAAAAAAAAAAAAAAATTTACTAACACAGAGTGGGGCCAGTTGGGAGGCAGGGTGGGTGGAGAGAGCATTGGGAAAAATAGCTAATGCATGCTGGGCTTAATACCTATGTAATGAGTTGATAGGTACAGCAAACCACCATGGCACACGTTTACCCGTGTAACAAACCTGCACATGTACCCTGGAACTTAAAAATAAAAAAATAATTAAATACAAATGGTTTAGATGGTATTTAAGTTATGTTTGTTTCACTACAGTTTTTTAAAAAGCACAAGTGAAGGGTGCTATCTTCTCTCAGCAGCCCAGGCTTTGGAGGAATACTAGAAATCAAAGGAGAAAAGAAAACAGAAAACAGCCAATGGAATGGATCTTGTCTTTATATGGAACTAATTGCAAATATATGTATATTTCTTACAGAGTCATTTTTCTCTCAAGAAGGGAGCTGCAGCCTTAGGAATTGGAACAGACAGCGTGATTCTGATTAAATGTGATGAGAGGTGAGAATGCATCTCTAACTCTGTTGGTTAGCAATTTGCTAATTCCACACAAGTAGTGCCTTTCAGTCTGAAAATAGGACCATGGGCAGCAAGTCGGCCTCCCTCCCAGCCTTTGCCACTCTTCGTTTCTTTTTAACATGGGCTCCTGCTTCTAGTGCTCAGATGTGGTTCCTTGACGCCATGGAGTCTTCCATGTCAAGGAGTCAAGGGAGATTCAGCCCTTGACACAATCTAAACCTTTGTTAAATCAATCAGAATATTCAACACCAAGAAAGCGCAGAAGGACATTCATCACCTAGGCAGCTGGCAACAGCAGGCAAATAGGAGCACTGATTTATGGAGGTGTCATCACTTTGGGCACCATAGATTGTGTAAGCTTGATGGGGTGATTACAGGAGGGGGTGTAGTTTAGGGAGCAGGAGGTAAACAATGCACCAGCAACTCAACAACTGGAACCAAAGGACTCAGGAAAAATCTCTGTCTTAATTGACACCCGAACTTCACAGGTACTCTGGGATTCAGTGTGGTGTTTTGTGGGGGAGGTTTAAAAGCACTTTGAGGATGTCCACATAAAGTATCACCGACCTACAGGCCTGAAACCTACTAAAAATTAGATTCAGTCTCTAAAGTTTGAGTAAGAATTTTCACTAAATTTAAAGGAAGCCACTCAATTAGCCATTTATTTATTTATTTGTGTTTATTAGTCAGATGTGTAGTGATTGCCCACCATGTCACTAGCCTCTAGAAAAGCATAATACGGTGGTCCTGGTTCCCTGCAGGATGTGAGCCAGGTGGGAAAAGGCACTTGTTGTCAGGAGATGGCTACATGGTTGAACTGCATGGCATGAAGTGTACATTTGAACATTGAGAAGACATAGAAAGCATCATGCAACAGGCAGGAATTGAGCTGGATTTTTAAAATTAGAAGTGAGTTGGATAAGTGGAGGGAGAGGCAAGGGCAGGTGCAGAAGATTGAATGCCAGCAGCAAAGCTGTTACAGGAAAGGGGTCCCAAGACAGACCCCAAGAGAGGGTTCTTGCATCTTGCACAAGAAGGAATTCAGGGCGAGTCCAGAGAGTAAAGTGAAAGTGAGTTTATTAGGAAAGTAAAGGAATAAAAGAATGGCTACCCCATAGACAGGGCAGCCTGGAGGCTGCTGGTTGCCCATTTTCATCTTGACGATAAATGGGGGGTGGATTATTCATCTCTCCCCTTTTTAGACCATGTAGGGTAACTTCCTGACATTGTCATGACATTCATAAACCCTCATGGTGCTGGTGAAAGTGTAGCAGTGAGGAGGATGACCAGAAGTCACTCTCATGGTCATCTTGGATTTGGTGGGTTTTGGCAAGGTCTTTATGACCTGTCTCTTGTACTGACCTTCTATCTCATCCTGTGACTTAGAATGCCTTCACTGTCTGGGAATGCAGCCCAGGAAGTCTCAGCCTCAGTTTCCCCAGCCCCTATTCAAGATGGAGTTGCTCTGCTTCGCATGCCTCTGACAAACTACAGAAGGAGGAATGAGTGCCTTGCGGGGCTCTAGAAGCCAAGCCTTAGCAGAGGCATGGGGAAGGGGCAGCCATGGCAAATACCATTGTTTACATGGAATTCAGAAAGCTCTAAAATCCATCTAGGCACTGTGGCTCATGCCTGTAATCCTAACACTTTGAGAGGCTGAGGCAGGCAGATCACCTGAGGTCAGGAGTTCAAGACCAGCCTGGCCAACATGGTGAAACCCTGTCTCTACTGAAAATACAAAAATTAGCTGGGTGTGGTGGTGTACACCTGTGGTCCCAGCTACTTAGGAGACTGAGACAGGAGAATCACTTAAACCCAGGAGGCGGAGGTTGCAAGGAGACGAGATCATGAAACTGCACTCCAGCCTGGGCAACAAAGCAAGACTCCATTTCAAAAAAAAAAAAAAAAAGATAGAAAGAAGGAAGGAAGGAAGGAAGGAAGGGAAGGAAAGTCTAAAAACAGCCATATTTACCTCTGTTACTGAACGAAACTGAGGTTTGTTCGCCAGCAGCAGTGAGGCCAAACATCCACACAGAGATTTACAGCAGGAGGAAGGAGGACATTTATTTGCAGGGCTCCAAGCAAGAATTGAGCACTCATGCTGAAGACTTGACCTCCCCAATGGCGTGCAGGTAGGGGTTTTTAAAGGCAGGGATAATTTCAGGAAGGCTGAAGTTACAGGCAAATTACAAATCAATCCATGGAGGTTACACATCAGTTTGGCCCGAAAGGGTGGGATATCTTGAAGTGGGGAATTACAGGACGTAGGTGAATTCAAAGGTTTTCAGATTTGCAGTGGGTTAAGGAAGAGAAGTCTTTGTTTAACAATTTGGGGTCAGCAGAAAAGAATGCTAGCCCTGGCTCAGAGGTGCGCCTCCCTCCAGGCCCTTCAGGAAGAAATTTAGAACAAAGAAAGGTGGTCAGAGTTCAGACCTCGGTTTCCCGTTTCCCCTCCTCTGAGGTCTATGATCCATTTAGTAGGAGTCCTGGAGTCCTGGCTTCTGAAAAACAACCCAAGGACATATGTTAAGATGTTACCTTTAGTTTTCACAGGGAATCAAATATCCTGTGCTTCTAAATTGCTCAGCTATTGCTTTAAGGATATATGTTAACATGTTACCTTTACTTTCTAGGTTTTGTTGTTGTTATTTTAGATGGAGTCTTGCTCTGTTGCCCAGGCTGGAGTACAGTGGTGTGATCACTGCTCACTGCAACCTCTGCCTCCCAGGTTCAAGCATTTCTCCTGCCTCAGTCTCCTGAGTAGCTGGAATTACAGGCATCTGCCACCACACCCAGCAAATTTTTTTGTATTTTTAGTAGACACAGGGTTTCACTGCTTGGCTAGGCTGGTTTCAAACTCCTGACCTCAAGTGATCCGCCCACCTCAGCCTCCCAAAGTGCTAGGATTACAGGCGTGAGCCACCATGCCCAGCCTTACCTTTAGTTTCTATAGGGAATCAAATATCCTCTGGTTCTAACTTCCTCGGAAGTTGCTGGTTTACTTCTCGGGGCTAGCTAGTGCCTGGAATTTCCCTAGAAGGAACCTGTTTCCCTTTATTTCCAGACTTAGGAATGTTGTCTGAAGGCCACTAAAAGGGCTCCCTGCCCCACTCAGCTCTGGATGATGAGGTTAAAGAAGCTTACCGCTTTCCTGTTTACACCTGTTTATATTGCCTGGTTTTGTTTGTTGACAGACATACCTTTGCCATGGGAGTTGGGTTTTTTTTTTTGTTTTTGTTTTTTTGGTGGGGGGCAAGGTGAGCTAAAGTTAGGATTTAAGCTGGATAGGTCTGGAAATGAAGTAACTGGAAAGAATTTTCATTAAAGAAGAACACGAGTGAAGCCGCCCTTCAGGAGGCAAAAAAGCAGGAGGATCTCCAGTCAGGAAGGCCCGTGGGAGGCCCTAGCAGCAGACAGACATTCATGATAAAAGAACAGAGCAAGGCAAACACAATTTGGAAAAGAAAATAAATTGCCTCTTTTTTGGTTTTGGGTGGCCGGGAATGGAGTCTCGCTCTGTCGTCCAGGCTGGAGTGCAGTGGCACAATCTTGGCTCACTGCAACCTCTGCTTCCTGGTTCCTGGGTTCAAGTGATTATTCTCCTCAGTTTCCCAAGTAGCTGGGACTACAGGTGCATGCAACCACACCTGGCTATAGTTTTTGTATTTTTAGTAGAGATGGGATTTCACCATGTTGGCCAGGCTGGTCTCGAACTTCTAACCTCAAACAATCTGCCCACCTTGGCCTCCCAAAGTGCTGGGGTTACAAACGTGAGCCACTGTGCCCGGCCTGCCTCATATTTTTAAGGCTACCAGTGTTCCTCACTAGCAGGTACTTAAGAATTGAGATTTGAGGAAAAAACTGGCTTTTTAAAATGTGAAGAATAAATGCTTAGATGACTTTAAAGCTTTCTTAATCTGTAGTTGATCTGTTATGAGTGAGGAGCCTGGAGTTCAAGGAAGAATCACCTAGAGGGGCCCTGGCCCGCTGGCCTAGGCAGTCTTCCTTGCTAGCCTCCAGTGAATCCCATGGGGCCGAGAGGTGACTGGCAGAGCAGTAGGGGCTCTTGACTCCAGTCTTCAAAGCATCGGTATCACTGCTTCTACTACCGTGAAAATCCGGTGCGACAGCAGAAGTGGTCTTGGGTGGGCCCACCAAGCCAGCCAGCTGGGTTGTCATGGGAATAAGAGGCCGGCCTGAGGACATCTGCCTGTCTGAAGGCATCGCTCTGCTCGCACGAGAAGTGTAGGCCTAGAAGAAGGAAGATCAAGAAGGGAAAACAGAGGAGTGGTGGGGAAAGGGACCATGGACAGGGCTTCCGGGACAGAGGCAGGTGGAGTTCGCCATGCACCACCAGGAGACCAGGAGGGCAGGGAAGGGGGCAGGAGGGGGATGCTGGAGAGCCGGTGGGGCCTACCACCAGTGACTGGCCAGGGGGCCTCAAACGTGGAAGTTAAAGAATTTTATTTCAACAATTTTTTTTTAAGACATGGGGTCTTGCTCTTCACCTAGGCTGCAGTGCAGTAGAGTGCAGTAGCTCACTGCAACCTTGAATTCCTAGACTCAAGCAATTCTCCCCTATCAGCTTCCCAAGTAGCTGGGACAACAGGCCCACGCTGCTATACCCAGCTCATTTTTGTTTGTTTGTTTTAGAGTTGGAGTCTCACTCACTATGTTGCCTAGGATGGTCTTGAACTTCTAGCCTCAAATAATCCTCTCATCTCACTCTCCCAAGTGGCCGGGATGAGTCATCACACCCTGCTTAATTCAACAATTTTAGAAGTCATTAGGACAACTGAAATAGAATGCTGAAAAGCATGCTTTTTTCAGAAAATGGCTCACTCTCTCGTGTCCCTGTCTACTCACATAAACCCCTTGGGAGAGACAGAGGGAAAGGGGCCCCTGAGCAGCTAGGGCTGGGGGCTTTTTCCCTTTCTGCTCCTAAGCTTTGTGGGGGGTGGAGGAAGGAGGAAGGGCCAGGA